GACGAGCGGCCGGCCTGCCGCCCGCGGGCAAGGAGGGGCTGACAGAGCTGTCTTCCGCGGGCCCAGCCGTGCTGGAGGACACTGGTGCTGACGTACTAATGGAGGCTCTGGGTGCCCTGGGCTGTGAATGCCGCATCGAGCCGCAGCGCCGGGCCCGCAGCCTGCGGTGGAGCGGAGTGAGGCACGACCCCTGCAGCGTGAGTGGCTGGTTCTACCCTCCCAGACCATGTCCCGAGTCCTGGCCCACATTTCGCAGGTGCAGCTGTCTGGAGAGGTAGCATCTCGTAGAGGAGTGACTGAAGCCTGCGTTGCCACTTTGCCAGTATGGAACCAGAACCAGCCTCTGTCCCATAACATTCTACCCCAGAAGAGGCTGGGGTCAGCCCTTGGTCCTGGGCTGGCCTTGGTCTCTGGGAGGCTTGACTCGGGCTTCTGAGGAACAGCCCTGGCAGGGCTAGGCATGACTGCAGTTACAGAACTACAAGAGTTCCAGTTTCCAGTGTTAGCTAGGCAGCAAGGCAGAGGCCCAGAGACAGGCCAAGTGTGGGCAGCAGTGCCCCCAATATCCCCACAGGTGGCTCCTGAGGTGTGGTCTACAGAGGAGCAGGAACTACTACTGCTGCTGCTGCTGGAGCCTGAGGAGTTTCTGCAGGGCACGGCCCAGCTGACCCAGGTGGTTTCCTTCCTTCATCCCATGGTACCAGGTTTCCCAGCCAGGGGTGCTGTTCTGCCAGCCAACATTTAGGGGAGAGGAGCACAGGTGAAACAGTAGAGGGATTGGGATGGGAGAGCACAGAGTCAGGACCAGGGTATACTGACTAGAGGACCCTGAGCTCAGGTGGAAGTGTCTAGGCAGGGCCAAAGGCTGGCTGAATTGGTCTGCAGCAGCTGACAGTGCAGCCTAGCCTCTGATGGAGTAGAAATAGTGCTCAGCTGATGATTGGCTAGAGAATGACTAAGTTAGACCTGCTGGGTCGCAGCGGGCATGATTGTAGGGATCCTGCTGTGTGCCATGCAGATGCCAGGCTGGGGTGCAGAGCTGGACCACAGGGTACTCAGCCTCCCTGGCCCTAGGCAGCTGGTTTACTGGAGAGGGTTGGCTGGGCAGAGGGAGTGTCTCTGGCTCTCCTGCTCTTCTTTGCCATTGGCTGTGGGCTGGTGGTCAGCAGTCTTCCTGCGAACAGTGTGCCATGTGTTCTTGCCTTCAGACAGAAGGCCCACCCTGTCCGGTGCCTTGGATCTCTCCTGAGAGCCCTGCCCACCCCCACCTGGCTGTCATAGGGCTGGATGCCCACCTATGGTACCATTCACCTCAAGGCCCTTAGTGGGGCTGGCTGGAGTGGGCAGGGAGAGGTAGGGGTGCCTCTGGAGGCTGCTGTCACAGCTGATTCCACTGCCCTGGGGGCCCTGGCAGAGGCAGAACTCAGGAAGAAGGTGTGGGGAACTGGGGGGTCGTTGCTTCTGCTCAGGTCTTGCCAGCCCAGTGCCCAGGGGATGCAGCAGCTGCAGAATTCAGAGGTGGTCCAGGCCAAGGAGGCTGTCAGCTGGCCGGATGTGGAGGAGGTGAGGGCCGTTTGGGCTGTGGGGTTGGCCTTGGTCCAGCACGTGGCTGCTCTCTGGCTGAGAGGTGTGACTCCCAGCATGGTCAAGGTGAGCCCACGCCATCACCATCCTTCCCAGGCTCTGGTGCTCCTTCAGCTCCGTGCAGACCTGGATGTGCTACTGGTGGCCTCCTGGCAAGAGCTGACGCAGCACGTGTGTGCCTACACCAAGGCCCTCACCCAGCTCCCCTCTAAGTGTGTACCCCTACTCAGGGCTGGAAAGGGGACAGGACCACCAGGAGCAGGGAGCTCTGAAGGGTAGATGTGGAAGAGGCCAAGGCTCTGAAGACCCCTCTGCCCCTCCCTTTCAGGCAGTGCTGGGACTCCCAGGCCTTTTCCTTCTGCACAGCAGGTCGCTGGGCTGCAGGCCAGCAGGTGGCCAGAGATGGCTCTGGGTTGCGTGGGGTTTGGTGGAGACAGATCAGGCAGTTTAACCGGGTCAGCCCTGCTGTGGCAGATGCCATTGTCACCGCCTTCCCCTCCCCACGCCTTCTGCAGCAGGTAAGCTCCCAGGTACCCTTCCCCTCAGGTATGAGACCCAGGCCTCAAGGCCCCCTGCTCACACCTTTGCTTGCCCTAGGCGCTCATGGCCTGCAGCACAGAACAGGAACGTCTAGGCCTCCTGGCTGACCTCCCTGTGGAGGCCAGCAAAGGCAGACAGTCCCGAAGGGTGGGGCCTGACCTCTCCCGCCGCATCTGCCTGTTCCTGACCACCACCAGCCCTGATCTGCTACTGGACCTGGGCTCCTGACCACACTTGCCGGCCTCTTCTGTCCACCAGCAGGACAGCAACAGCCCGCAGGAGGACTGATCAGACCTCCTGAGAGTGGGAGGGGGACAACCACACTTACTAAGCCTCGGGTGGACTCCATCTTTGGCTGGTCAAACTTGAGATTGGGGAGGAGGGGGAAGACAGATGCTCTGAAATCAGCAGAAGAGCAGGGAGGCAGAGGCCTGAGGAGGACTGGGGTTTGTGTTCCCTCTGCCCTGAATGTTCTGGCCACAGGACAGCGTGGCAGCAAGACTGTGTGCCCAGCTGGGCAGCCAGGAGGATTGCAGGGCAGCACCCCAGAGGGTGCTCCCTGGGGAAGCAGCAGCCTGCCCCCCCACATAGCAGACCATCAGGAGGAAAGCAGACACCCGGCAGCCCAGGCCTGGCAGACTCTTTAATCTCAGAGCTGTGTAAGACATAAATCCCACATTTGTCACAGTCGTTGGGGTCTGTGTGACGGGAACGGCAGTGGACGACATGCAGAGTGAGCTAGAAGAAGAGCTGGGACCCAGGGCCAGGAAGCGCCAGCTCACCAAGCCCTGTCTCCCCAGGCAGCAGACACCTGCCACCCCAGGATGGCCCAGCAGTGCTTGGCCATTCCTGGTACAGTTGGAGGACTGGTGTGGCTGTCCCCCCCCCCCCAGTCAAGGAGAGTGGACTCAGTGGCCAGTGGCTCTGGATCCCCTACAGAAGGGACTGTCCTGGCCTTAGGAGAGACAGGACAACCCCCTTCAGACCTTGGTCCACCTCTTCTGCCCTGCAGGGTGGCAAGGAGGGAGGAATGGAGTGGCCTTCCCAGCCCAAGGAGGCAGTTTTTGTCAGAAAACAAGTCAGGTCCGTCGGCACCTCTTCCTTCGGCAGGGCCTGGCCTCTAGGCTGGGGGTACCAGGTGGGGACGCTGGGGGCTTGCGACGGCTGCAGTTCATGCTCAAGACCCAGCCCAACTTGTCACGCAGCACCTGCTTGAGACCAGGTGGCAGGGGCAGGCCCTCAAGGGTGTCCCCTGAGTCAGGGCGCAACTGGCGCAGTCGGGAGCAGCACAGGTACTGCAGGGAGGTGGCAGTGGCGCAGGCACGGATCACCTTCATGCTGCTTCTGGCTGCTGTGGAGCACACCATCGGGTAGAACCTCCTGTTCCTCAGTCTGGTGGCTGCCACTCCTGCAGGGAGAAGCAGCTGAGCCTGGACCAGCAGAGGACCTAGAAGGTGCTGTGCCAGTCCCAGCCCCACATCTGCCAACTTGGCTGAGGGAGTCAGTCCTGTGGCTCTGGCCCAAGTAATTCCAACCTGGCTTCTCCCTGTCCCTCCCTCTGGGGACTTGGGGCCTCAGGTCCCACCAAGATTATAGCTGTGGTAGCTGTACCCTGTAGACGCCTGTTCAGGGTCAGGCTTGGGACCCTCACCTATGCACTTCCTGTTCTTGAAGAAAGTCAGCGTCCCATGCCAGGCATCCAGGTGCACACCAATGATGGAGCCTTGGCCAAACCGCGATGAGAAGCTGGTCTTGTCACCCTTGTGGTGGAGGAGCCCTGGGGGCACCAGGTGAGGGTGAGCCCAGGAGCCAGGTGCTGCCCTCCCCGCCTGACCCTCCCCACCAGACCCACTGGACCACACAAACCCGTGTAGGAGAGGCCCCAGCTGTCCTCGTCCCTGCCAAGCAGGCTGCAGAAGGTGTGATGGTACTTGTCCAGGTCCACATCTGACGTCCCAATGCCCACCATCTGCCAAAGTGGGGCTGGGGAGAGTGTGCCTGGGGCGGAGGCCTACAGCGCTGCCCCAGGCCACCGGCCACTTACCATATCAGTGCCATAGACAGGTGAGGTCATCTTAATTTCCCAGAAGTGTTGGCCATCCCCCAGCTCCTTGGTGCCCCGGATGGCTGCGGTACCACAGCTATACTCCATATGGAAGCTGACCTTGCGGTTGTCACAGCTTAGCAGGGCAGCTGAGGACTTATTCAGGTCATCCCAGACCCAGTCGAAGTCTGTAAAACGGGGGCCAGGTTTGCCCCTGCGCCTCCCAGGAGGGCCTGCCCCACCATCCCCTGCAGGACACTCACACTCATCCTCTTCTCCACAGCGGCAGTCCTTGCCACGGTGCATGGTATGTGGGCTGCTGCAGAAGGGGGCCTCACTCTGGCTCTCACAGTCACAGAAGGACTCCCCTGTCACAGGCACAGCACTGGGGATGGATGGTGGCAGGGACGAGGACTCAGGGTCAGAATCGGAGTCACTGTGCTGGAGAGA